TCTTCTTCAGGAAATCTGTATATCACATAATTTAAATATTCTATGTCATCCAGGTTGCTACAATAGAGAAGCGGTTGTTAGGTGGGGTTGAGCTGCAGTCTGGGGATCTCCTGACGCTTGGTCCGAGGCAACTACTCAATGACGTCATCGTCTCTGGGTGGCTGCAAGTCCTGGTCGCCCAGTATGAGAACTCTTCCGAGTCCTTCCATGTACCGGTGCAGGGGCCACTCCTTTACTTGCATATGAAGGATTTAACGCAGACAGAGGTAATTTTGATCATTCACTTACAATAATTTGTGCAATCCTAGGGTGAACCGTACTATATTAATATACTGTACCAAACACTGTATTAGCACACTACAACATAATGTGGCGTTATCAGAGCTATTTACCTGTAATACGTACTGCAATATGTTTTTGACAGGTGAACAACGACGCGTGGTGCCAAAGGGTAGCTCACACACTACTCTGTGGGCTCACCCTGCTAATCCCAGTCTGTGACGCCGGACATTGGCTCCTGATAGCCGTCACCACTTCCTCCATGAGGATTTATGACAGTTTGACGTCTTATGGACAGCAGTCATACACAAGACTCAGGAGGGCTTTCAGCATGCTCACACATGGCCGTAAGTCAAATTTGTATTATCAAAAATTTAATGTTTGAAGCAGGGCCCGGTATGGTAAGAGAATATGATTTAAAATGATTTAATTTTTGGTAACTGCAACTGGGAGTATATATAATGTTGTAGAATGGGTGCAGTGTGAATATTCCGTGAAGTATCTGGAAGAAAATAACAGTATCCGTAAAATGTTAAAAAACTAACATATTCAGCACTGCTGGAGGTTCAGAAGATCCCCGTCCCCCAACAGACAAACGGAGTGGACTGCGGTGTATACATGCTTCTGTTTGCCGAGCGACTCATGCAGGTATGTTATTTTTTAAAATTGACATTGGCATAGAGTAATGTGGAAATATAAAATTGTATGGTGTGCATATGTAAGTTTTTCAATGATTCACATTACGGTACAACCTTGATGTACGTTTCTGTGGACTACATTTGTACACAAGTTCTTCCCCTATCCATTGTCCATCACATGTAAGTTAAACCCGGAACGTTTATTAAGCTGAAGGACGAAGGTTCACGTAAAACTGAATTTAGTCTTCACCCAGGATATGAACATGGACTTGGAAACGTCTGTCAATCTGCGCGCACATCTTAGAGTGCGCATCGAAGAGCAGGTTGAAGAGCATTGAAGACTAGCTTACAGCAGATGTACTTACTTGTACTTGAAAAGGTCTCCTCCTAGTCGTTGGAGTAGCCTGCACCACATAGTAACTCCTTTCTCCGGTGTATTAGACCTCTCCAGTGAACCCTGTCTGTAGCTTGTTGTTCTGCATCTTCTATCGTGATGTTATCGACACCTGTGGAGATTGCTGCATCCTCCCGGACACAAGACAACCAGTTTTTCCGAGGTCTACCTCTTGATCTTTTACCATGCTTTGGGATCCAGTGCAGAAGATAGTTGGGTATTCTTTCTTCTGGCATCCTCACCACCAGCAGATGACATTATAATAATATATAAAATAAAAAAATAAAATAACTGTTCTTTAGAAGAACTCTTCTGAGTTTTTTTCCCCTATTCGTAGACAACTGGTCAGCTAACTTCGTTGAAATAATATTTTTGAAATGTTTCTTTGTACGTCCTGTGCCAATTGCCCAACACACCCACCCGTTCCCCTCATTTACACTAATATTCTCTCTCTCTCTTAGTATGAGCCTATCAGCAGTCTACCTCATGACATTTTTCAGTCCGTCCCTTAAAAATGTTGTTCTGAAGGGACAGAGGGTATGCAGTTACTTTTTTGTATTACTTATATTTGCTCGGATCCATTCTGTAAGGTTTCCAAACCATACCTGGTCATAACTGTTTGGTGAATATTGTAGAGAGTAAACTGTGGCTGAACATTTTAATTTCAGGCGTACGATGGTAACAAAATTCTGTTCTTTGAGTACCGTGATGCAACTCTGAGAGCCGTCGTCCAGTCCTCTCACAAGGATCAATCTTACCAGCTTTCGGTTTGTTTAACCCAGAATTGTGAACTTGGTACTGAAGCCTTGAAATATCTGTTTACCGTCATTTGAAAGACTAGTTTATGTAACATCATGATACAGGAAAAGTAGAAATTAGTTTGAACGATGTCCAATTTAAGTAGTTCTAACCTCTATGTGATTTGTTGGCAATGAAAGTTTTGTTCAGCGATTGCTGTCGACGTGATTTGTGCCAAATAGGAAAATTATTTCATAGTCTACAATTAAGAAATTATGTTCATATCCGTAGATGGAGTTGAACACGAAGGAAAAAACTGTACAGAAATACCACTGTGCCTGCAAAGTGGGTACGACACCTTGTTCACACATGGCAGCAACTTTGATCTACGCTTCGAAAAATCTCTCGAAAACATCAGGTATTGCATAATTCACCAACTAGACATGAATCTTAATAATAACGGTTCCACAGAACGGTCATAAAAAAATTTCATGCTCACCCTAATGCTGACTTAATACTTAGTTCCAGTGAGTTGGCTCAAGAAGCCTAAAACCGCCAAGAAAAAGCTTGAATCGATCCAGACACTGGATGCTTTGCTCCGACAGCCTTCTGCGAAGAAGATGTGAGTATGCATCGCGGTGTGAATTTACAATACTTTTTAAGGCGTAGCTCATAGGCTGCAAATTCAGTTAATCTAAAATGGCCTCCAACCTGACTTATTATACTGTACATTTGCAGGAGATTGGAGGAAAATGATGGTAATCCTGATCAACCGTGTGCTGTAGCGGACTTCTCCGCAGGGAGTAAACAATTCTATGACGACATGGACTCCATAATCCCTAACTTTGGATTGAAACTTGTGCTGTCAGAGGAGCCGGCGCCCGAAACTGTCCCCTTGATCAAGTGGGCAGGTATACTTGTGTACAATCTGCTACAGAAAGGTATGGTGATTTGTATATTGAACTACATGTAACTAATATATACATGAAATCATCAAGTCATGTAAGACGGAACGTGTAATGTCGAGTACATTTGTAATACTGTTAAAATGACTAACTTAAGGAAACAGCTTCAAACAGAATATTCTGTTGTAATCCAAACATTTCTAATTTGTGCAGGGCAAACGGTCGACAGTGCACGTGAGTCTTTACGTGAGATTCAGCTTCCCGACGGGGACATAGTACAGCTGGCAGAGGACACTACAGGCCAGTTCTCAAACATACTGTACTGTGCGGTGAAAAAGTTCAGGCTGACGAGCACAAAGTTCCATCAGGTGCTGACTCTCCTGTCTGGTAGATCTAAACCTGGAAAAAAGTCAGAAAAGGGTAAATATGAAGGATCTTCTCAATGCTGTGCATAAGTGAAATGTTTTCAAGGATATTTCCATTACCTGTGAAGAGTGGTCCGCGACTTCACAATTTTCCTCACTAACCGATATAACATTTTGATGACCAATTTCCAGTTAAAACAAGAGAGGAAAGGATGACTGACCTGTTCTACGCTGCTAACCGTCTCGAGGGTCACTCTGCTCTAGAGTGGGGCACTACTCACGAGGACGAGGCTAGAAGGGAGTTTGCAGCTTTAACAGGTCTGCAGGTCAGTGCAGGTTGTAACTTGTAAACTGTTTGCGAAACTGCATACCTATCACAATGCCACAAATATGCATACCTTTCCAAACAATCACTGCTACATCTCATAACATATTATACTAGGCTGCTACCGGTATATGACCTTATGGATTATTTTATAGTACCTTTTCCTAACTGTGGCACAATTTAAGGTAACTGAAACAGGGATATTTCTGGATAAGGAAACTTCCTGCCTTGGTGCATCACCTGACGGGTTGGTTGGACAGGACGGAACATTAGAGATTAAATGTATTTTCTCTCTAAAAGACAAGTCTGTGGCAGAATGGGTAAGAAAGTGTCAGGCTCAGACAACAAAGGTTAGGAACGTGCCCAACATGCCGTATCTGCGAGCTGGACCGGATTCGGTTGAATTTAACTCCAACCACGCCTACTATGACCAGATACAGGGACAGTTGCATTTTACTGGTTTGTACTTTCAGGTTTCCAGATTGTAGAGTTAGAATAGCGATAATTTGGGGTGGACGACAATTGCCCAGTGTAATTACATTGCATAGGTACCATAATTTGTTACCATGGCAAAATCTCAAAATTTAGAACATCAAATATTTGCTCAACAGTCCCTCAATGCCCTCAGGAAGGAAGGTGTGCTATTTCTTCCCCTGGACACCAAAAAAACCATATTTCTACATCACAGTCCAGAAGGACCACTCCTACGTTCATAAGATTGTGCAACTCCAGACATTCTACTTCAATGAATTCATACCCCACATCCTCAACCAAGGTGAGCGGCACTAATTTTGACCTGTACATTAAATTTTTTCCTGTACAATTCAGCAGTGCATGCAAATTACACAAGAGTTTCTCTGAACCACCACTTAGTCCCATATCAGCCAGCTAATTGAAACCTCTTTCAGCCGAGCACGATCTTGCAGAGCCATGCGTATCGGACTCCGATGACGAATAATGTTTGCACCAGACTCTGCCACGGACTTTAATACTTTAATTTGTGAACATTTGGTGGGGGGAGGGGGGTCGAGAAAACTGTCACAAACGTCAAACCAGTTTGCGTACAAACGACCACTGCTCGAGGAGGATATTCCTTTCAGTGCGATTCTAATTTCAACGAGGCCTGCACGACATCAACTTTCTAACTGATATATTGAAATCCCGGCCACAGATTACCTGTGCACACAAGTACACACAATCGCTTTCACACCACACTGGAGGCCCCGCATTGTTTTTGTGCGCAAAACTTACAAGGAAGGGTGCTATTTCTAATATATGTACAGTTGCCACTGCACTGGTCACATCGTTTGGTGAGGATATCACATAGCACTATAATTGTAAAAGTCAAAAATTGCATTAACCAACTTTTAATCCTAACTGATCTTTTAACGTTCAACTAAACCAAGTTTGTTATATTTAGAACATATGTCACTGTGGAAGGTGTTTGAAGGGGCCAGGTACTGTGGAGGTGTGCGTGAGCACAGTCTCAGAAGATACAAGAGAATAAGAGACAACAGAGATAAGTTAGTGGAACTGGGTTTGATGACAGTAGATGAACCACTGGAAGGTTACCGGACTGAAGAATGGGAGGAACACGCCACAGCTTACTCACAATGTAGGTCTAAACTATACTAATAATGCCCATAAATGTGTTTGTGTTTATGTGTGTGACTGACGCAGCCAATAAGAATATTCTCTGGAAGTCGGTGAGTGGTAAAGAGTGCAAGTGTGTCCATTAAATCAAGGTTTTGAAAATCTTGTTCTGGTATCTTAACCATTAGCTCACAATTCAGATGAGATGTTGCTGAATCGGTATTCAGATGGAGCGATAAAGCTGGAGGAATTTGTTAAGGCTGATCCCAGATACCCCTCTGACAGTGATACGGACAGTGCTCCTGAAACGAGGAACAAGAATGTAAATGGTGAATCGGATTTTGCAGAATGTACAGACGAACGAAAAGTTAACCAGTACTCTGCTAACGAAGAAGCTGAAGGTCCTAAAGTAGAGGATCTAGAGATGTTCCTACACTCAGAACCTGAGTCTGTACCAGCATTGAAAGATCTATTTGTCAACAAGAATTTAACTTCTCATCTCGGAGAAGGTCCTGTAGATGTGTGTAAATTGATCGCAGAAAACCCTGAGTTTACACATGAAATATGTGAGGCTAACATAGACTCTCTTATGCCGGATGAGGAGTTCTATAAAATTACTTGTGAGACTTATCCTGGTGGCTGGGAGAAGTTCGTGGAGGACATGTTAGTAACACTGTATACTGGATAACTTTCAACTTGACCATAATCGCGTTTTGGAGCTTTAACTTGTGTTCCTTATTTGCATAAATATTTGTCAGAGTCCAAATTCTATTTAAATTTTGAACTTAGCAATATGTTATGATATGTTCAATGGGTACTCCTTTTCAGGGAAAACGGAGAGTCCTCAGATGAGGAGATCGAGAGAATTGAGCTGCCCCCTGATCTCTACAATGAACTTATATCAGACAAGAGTAATGATGTACCTGACGATGATGAGGAACGGTTTAAGTTTGGTGGAATAAACAAGGATCAAACAGATACTTGTCTTGATCGAGTACTTGAGTTGTATGATAACTATCATAACATGACGCATGACGAGTGAGTTTTGATACTGTGTTGTCCTAGTTCGTATTAAAAGTTTCCTTTAAACATACTGTAATGGCTTCACTTAACCGATAGTTTTCAGCATATGTTTCGCAATTGTAGTTGATCGCGTGGTGCTAACTGTACTTTTAAGATTGCTAACATGACAATTCTTCATCTCGCAGGTATAACAAAAAGGTGAAGACGGTTCTCAAAGACAGGGATAGGATTGTTGTTCTAGATGATGATGGCGACAACACCAGACGAAGTACTAACAAAAGTAACATACTGCAAACCAAAGACTGTGTCAGAAAACCTGAATCTGATGACAACTTACCTTCTTGTAGCGGTGTACAGCACGATCTAGAACATGGTGAGAACAATCTCTAGTAGCATTTAAGGAAGAAGGAGTCGTAAATGGTCAGTTAACACAAATGTATACCTTTATGCACGAGGCTGTGCAATATCATTAAATAGTTCGTAACTTTATTCAAACTTACAGGTCAACAACATCATTGCACTGCAACCGGTTGTCTGAAGCTGTTCAAGACGCAGCTAGAGCTGGAGACACACAAATGTGGGACGACTCGAGAAGTATCAAGGAAGGGGAAAGAGAAACTACACAAGTGTGAGACGTGCGGGAACATGTTTGGTTGGAGAAAGAGTCTAACAAGACACATTAGAACAGTACACGATGAAGTAGCGAGACTTACCTGTCCTTACTGTCAATATAGGACTGATCATCAGCACCACCTCACCCAGCATATTTTAACACACACGGGGGATAAGCAGTACAGGTGTACACATTGTGACTATACCACTGTTCAGAAAAATACCCTCACTACTCACATCTACCGTAACCACACAAACAAGACACACAATTGTCAGTATCATGAGTGTGGTGTTAAGAAATCCTCTGAACAGGAACTGTATGATCATATCAGTTCAGAGCATGCACTACAACAATACAGATGTGATGTGTGTCCTATGTCTTTCAAAAAACTTGATGGCCTTAAGAAACACAAGCTGACACACGACGATGATGAGTTCAAGTGTAGGTATTGTGGGAGACGGTTTCTGCGAGCAGACAACCTAAAAAGACATACTGTGATACACACCGGTAAGAGATCACACGAGTGTGATGTGTGTGGTAAGCGGTTTACTAGAAACAGTAATCTCACAGTGCATATAAGAGTTCACACAGGAGCAAAACCCTACTCCTGCACTTACTGTGGTATGGAATTTAATGTAAGTAGTGCAAAAAACAGACATGAAAGTAGCTGTAAATATAAATAACATTATAATATAATATTGTTTGTCTCAAACTTTATTTGTTTGAAAATAACATTTGCTGAATAAAGAAAGTGTAGATGCCGATTGCCGACTCATTTTTAAATTTTCCGAACTGCCCAGTTTTATCAATTGTAACAGCTTTGATACAGAACCGCTGCTCCTCAATCTAATTGTATGCACGTGCAGCACTTCTATGTCAACTTGTTACAAGTTTTATATACTAACTTTTACATTAACAAGATTAACATGAAATGTTCAATTCCTGGATGTGGTACGTTTGGAAGACGGCGTATACCAAAAAGAGCCCTTGAATCAGTGAAGCTCACGTACCCCACGTTAGTTGATTGATCCTAACAGCTTTCATATTCGTACATCCTTGGACACCTGCAATCATCATAAATACCATTATATAGAACACCACTCAAACTGTAACCTCTTTCAGGGCTTGGATTACCAATGACTCGAGAGTATGCGACACCCACCAACAGCGGTACAAGAACTCTCTTTTGGAGGGAATCAGATTCGCCACCATAAAGAATTCTGCGCGAATGGTTTGTGCTCTTTGTCATCGTAATTGTGTCAAACTGTTGTATCCAATTTTAGAACTATCCCAGACTCCTACATTTCATTATTATTCTATAATAAATGTCATTACTTAAACAAATCACTAAGTTTTCAACTTAACCGGTCCATAATTATTACTTCTCACGTCACGCCATCTTAGGTAACGTTGCCCCAACCGTAACCGCATATGAAATATTTACACAGGTTCACCAATACACTGGATTACCTAATGGAGAGGTATTTCTTGCCTTGCTGAAGTTCCTCCGGTCTTATCGCACCCAAACCTCCCTCACCTACGCTGTTACTGGCAACCATCATTCGACCCTCCTGTACGAGGACCAACTGCTCATCACGTTGAAGAAACTGCGAGTTAATCTTCCTGATGATATTTTAGCTGTCGATTTTCAGGTAAGCTTTTTAGTAGCAACAGCGGTAGTTTGGGTAACAGCAGTTGACCTTTCAAATGTTGATTTTCGACTTCTTACATTTCAAAAGAGATTTAAAAATAGATGCAGCTGTTCTAGGGACTGCTTCAAAACTTTTTTCCTATTATATTGCAACGGAACTAAGTTCAGGTAAATTCAGGTATCGAGATCACAGATAACATCGATATGGAGGTCCTGGCTGGATATCATGGTCAACAAATTCAAGACCCTGGTTGGCGACGAACTACCGTCACTAGCGAAGTGCCAGAAAGCCATGCCTGCATGCTTCGCTTCCCATCCCAACACTAGGATCGTGATTGACTGTACCGAGGTATGATTTGAGTCCATTACCAGAATCGAATGAGCGGCTCTTACTTTAGAGCTCAGACAGAATTATAACAGTCACAATAGATAAATTGACACAACATTTCACTTTAAACGTGACCAGTGAATTGGTGTTCTCTACAGCAGTACAATTACGGCGGGGTGCGAATTGTGATGTTCAAAATTTCATTTTGTTATTGCAGTTGTAGCAATTGAAAGTTCCTACAATCCACAGGTCCCAATTGAAGCTCCGTCCAACATTGAGTCGAGCGCCAAATGTTACAGCCATTATAAGTGTAAGTTCAGAAGATCATACCTTTCAGTAATGCTGAACTTGCAACGTAAATTACAGATCTTCTGCTTTCGTACCTCATACAATTTCCCCTGCATAATCATTCTGTTCCATCTCCAGCTACGCACACAGCCAAGTTACTAATCGGAATTGCGCCCAGTGGGGTAATCACATATGTCAGCCGCTGTTACCCTGGTGGCACAACCGATAAGGAAATTGTAGTGGATAGTGCCATACTGCAGAAGGTGACTGTTGGTGACAACGTGATGGCTGACAAGGGGTTCCTCATTCACGACATTTTGCCCGAAGGTTAGTTCCAACCGTGCTACACTCGAAATATGAGATTTTTCTGAACGGGCCCCTATAACACTAACAGTTAAAACCAACTTAAATCGTAGTATTTATATTTTGTATGCTGATTGCGAATCACCCAAATGATGCTCCTCTCGCGAGATAACGTGCTATGACTTATGGTTTCTAATTTCTCGTTAAGGTTTCAGCATACGCTTAAGTTAGAAATCGGGTTTGTGTTAGGGTTAGGGTCATTCTGGGTGGTTAAGGTTTCAGAGCCAGCTAGAAAACGTGTTGAAACGTCACGTAACAGTCTAGTTGAGTAGTTGAGTGTAGAGTGATTAATCATCGTCCGGTTAGTTAAGAATAAGCGGAATAAAAAGCGAATTAAATTTCAGGAGTTACACTAAACATCCCAGCGGGGATGTGGGGCAAGACTCAGTTCACGCCGGAAGAAGTAGCAGCCAGCAGGAAAGTCAGCATCGCCCGCATCCACGTGGAACGCTCTATTGGCTATCTGAAGCGGTACAAGATTTTGGGAAACAAAGTTGTGGCGAAGATGTTGCCTTATCTGAGCGACATCGCATTCGTGTGTGCCCAACTGGTCAATTTGAACCCTGTTTTTTTAAGGGAGGTGGACAACGATTTTTTTAAAATGACCAGGGCTACTTGAATAAATAAAAAATTATGTTATTATTCTGTTCCTGACTGGACGATAAGCACCACAGTCAGTTGGAGGTATATTTTATTTAAACCTGCTAACTGCAGGTATATTTTATTTAAACCTGCTAACATTTCTTGTCAGAGAATTCGTGTCCTAGTTTTTATTGTCAAACACTTACCGTCCAAGTTAAGTTAGGGAGCACTCATGGGTATATTCCTTTGGTTCCAGTTGGTGTAAACTTAAAGCACAGTTCATCATTTGAAATTCCACTGAGTTGATAATCGCGACCACATATTACAGCAAACTGTACATATTACAGCAAACTGTACTTATCTCCGCAGTTCAGCCGAGACATACTATAACTAAAAAATCATGTTATTATTCTGTTCCTGACTGGACGATAAGCACAGCAGTCAGTTGGAGGAGAGACCTTGATACACTATCAAGATTGTTTGACTATCGTAAACAACCCACCCCCCCCCCCCCCCCAACAGTTAGCATTGTACATGGGCACTGGGCACGGTTGTAATGGTCACGGTTCACACAATTTCTAGTTCTGTATGACGTAATCATGGCGTGTGTACCGAGGTGCAGTCTGCAGATAAGAGCACCTTGAAATTGCCAACCTGTGGCAGAGATAACAATGTGAACAAAGGGTCAAATACAGATAAGAAATGTAAACATACGATATAATGTCCCTCTGCTCAGTGCTCACTCTTCCTGTTGAACCTGTTTGAGTTGTTAATGAGACGATCTCCTTGTTCTTTCGTTGCAGAATCAACATGTTCTTTGTTTGAGTAACACAACAATTTTGAGGAAAAAGGAAGCGTTATTGGGCTGTAAAACCAACTTTAATCGATTTCTCGTGCAACGTTGTACAGGTGAGGAACAGTCACAAAAATGAGATGCTTACCTGCTGTGTTTTTTCGTACTCTGCTCTTCGCTCAAGTTCGATCAGTTAAGGTTAGGATTGCCTCGATCTTTCGGTTTCAGCCCTAGGTCAAGAGCTGTAGAACCGAAGGATCAAAATATATGTTGCTTGTTGCTTGCATTCTAACCTATAAAACATCGATTTTGAGGGATAAGGAAGTGTTTATAGGTTCTGAAACCTAGCTAAATCGATTTTTCGTGCAATTTTAGGTTAGAAACGGTCATCAAAATGAGTTAATAAGAAGGTCGATTTCTCGGTTATTTTTGAGCTTTCGTTCAGAAAATAATTCGGGGTCCTCAAAGGGGGGTAACAAGAAGGCGTTACATGTGTTACAAGCCTTCTATAATACAAAATATGTAACACCTCCTCAGCCTCCTGAACATGTGTTCCACCTAAAATGTAAACAAACAATGATCACCTCCTCAGCCTCCTGAACATGTGTTCCCTATTAATGTAAACAAACAATGATCACCTCCCCGCCAGTATCCACATCTATTATATTGGCCAATTTTTTGTGTACGAATAATTTTCCCCACATAATTTTTCAACATTCTCCATTGTATTGGGACGCGAACAAATTTGGTGAGTAAGAATCCTCAAAAGTTTTTGTGTAAGGTCCTAGTTTAGAGGGAAAAACTTAAAGTTGGAAAAATATTCAATTTCCTGTTTTTTGACGTAAATTATTTTCCAATTTCAAGCCTTGCTCCAAATGGCCAGGTTATATTATAGCTCTATTACGCTAATGCCAATGCCTACTTTCCCTACTATGCTCTCAATACCGATTACCGATTTTAACCGTTTTTTATAGAAAATCATGGCGCATCTGGCTGCACTATATTATGTGGGTTATAGTATTAGTATGGTCTTTATGATATATAAATATTTTTATTGGTTACGTATGTCTTATTTGTTTAACAATACATTATTTGTTATTTTGTTAACATAATATGTCTTTATTGGTTAACAATACATCGTCACGGTGGTTACACACGTGCAACTCATCACCGGAATTCGGAGCTCTCAGTTAATTTCCTCTCATTATCACGTCTTACTTAGCAATCTGGGGAGTTCGGGTTATTAGTCCATTTTAACCGTGTAATCATGGTACTAACGCTCTTGAAAATATAGTAGATCCCAGATATTGAAGTCCCAGACCCTAAAATACATGAAGTTAAACTATGCCTGTTGGGATGGGATCGATTTTGAGTATTTTACAGCACTGGCATTGGTTATTGACTGTTAGCATTCCTAATCAATGCTAATGCAGGGTGTACGATTTCTGGGGTTAGTTAAATATGGCTATTGTCATTGATCGGAGGCAAATGAGCGATCACCATATATAAACCCTGAAGGACCTTGCCGGGAATTGGTTCGATCCATCTAGTGCATTGTGCTGTAGCTTGTACATATCAGGCTTCTACATTTAGCGTCTATTCAACAACAGACAGCTGATATCCGACTGCTCTATGGACGTTTTTGATCGGTTATTCATACTTAATGACTTTGTTTATTATAATGACTTTCATCGTGGACGTTTCATGCAAAATGTGATTGATTTTAACCATATGCATGTCGAACCTTCAGCCCTCCAGCATATCAATCGCTGTCTTTAATCCAACCAAGGTTGACAATTCAGTTTTTCAAGCGTCCTTTTTATCCGATAATATTAGAAAGCAGCTCGTTCTGTTTTCCTCTTGTAAGTTATAAGCGAGTAAGTGCATAGTTAATCTTACATAATATCTATTTGTGTCTTCGAGTTTCCATGAAAATTTCTATTCTCTGCATTGCCCAAAAGGGTCTAATAAGCTTTAAGTCTAACGTCAGAAGTGGTGATTGACTCTCGGGGAATCTGGGGATTAAATTAAATTCTTTTGCAGTACTGTGTGTGTGTGTGTGTGTGTGTGTGTGTGTGTGTGTGTGTGTGTGTGTGACCTTCGAACGTTGAATTAGGTTGTTTCATTTCAGGTAGATGGATCAAATATTACATATTGAATTTTAAATAGAGCTCAGAGTGTTCTCACCTGTCAGTGTCATAAACATAAACCTTGAAGTTGAAGTTATTGCTTTGGGAATTGGGAGAGTCATACATAACTTAGATATGGCTTATTGCTTCACCGTCACAGTCAATTGCATTGGCTTCTTTATGCGTCGTAGACGGAAAAGAATCGGCCCTGTGTTTTGCGGGCATAAGTATTTTTTCTACCTAGCCCAAGTTGTGTTCCCACTCTAAATATCTGCTTAATTTTACATATAACCCGTCAAACCTTGTTTAATTTAGCATAGAACCAATCAATTTCCAGACTTTAATTTACAATATAAAACAGCAAACATTGGGCTTTTAACAGTTTTGACAAACATCAGATGCAATTTCATGTTAAAAACCAGATTAAAGTTAAATCCCAAGTTCATTCGGTCGTTACTGTTTCCTTCCAAGAGGAAAACGGAAAAAGCTGAAGGGATAAATGATATTTCGCTATTATTCATCCCTTCGTGTTTTTACAGTCGTTATTTGTACAAATACAGTACTCAGGTCTCAGGCATGTGTACTACAATTGTAAACACGTGTTATCATGGAACTTAATTAGTACCAAGAATTGAAGCATAGTATTGCATTAATGCACGACTACGTAATTCAGCTTACAACTAACCGTTTGTTGGCTGAATTCCAAGGAACCAAACCACTAAGAGGGTAATGAGGTACGGGAGCTCACAAAATTATCGATCATTAATCCAATGCCCTGAACTCTTAATAACTATTGGACCACGCGGCACGCACACCGTCTGCATTGCTCTTTGAAACTTCTAGTTTACTTCTATGCCACTATGTCACTACCACACCATGATAAGCTGGCTTCTCATCAATTTCAAGCTTTTAAGATAATTAAATTGCAATCTCGAACTTCTAGCAGCCTGCTTTTCACGGCCGTGCTAATGCTATAATAGCCACACATCACATCGCTGAACTCTGAACACTTACCGCTACGTCTTATTTGCATGGCAATTTCCTGTAGTTGAACTGAACAGTACTGCGAGTTAATCGTTCACGAGGAGCTTATCGCAGCGTGCGTTTTGAAGCCTTGATATTTTAGGTTTGCACAACATTTTAAAAGGATGTCGACAAACAAGTTAGTTCTTCAGTATAAATGAACACAGTTGCTCTTTGAATAATTATCATTTACAAACCATCGCTGACTTATTGCGATCAAGAATGGAGCGGTTATACTGTTTTGACTGCGATTATGTATTAGTTTAACCCAGCTTCCGTTGAAACACACTGATTGGTTAATATGTTATAGTTGTCACGCGTAAAATTAAAAACAGCCTTGAATCGTATCACCGCCCATAGTTGATTGTTAGTCTAGGATAAAATTAAAGATGCGACATTCCTCAGTCACGAGAATAAATATAAGTACATATTTACCAGGGCTAAGTCTATGAGCTGTATTTAAACGCTCTGAAAGTGATTACTCAACCGAACAGATGGTTTACTATGGGCTTCATTAATTTTAGAATTTTTGATCTCTTAAAGTTAAACGCACTATTCACGTGTCTGGAGTTTGGATTTCCAGCTTTTCTCACGTTATTCATTAAACGGAGGATGGGCATTTTGATGTGGTTACACATCCTCAGCTTTAAAGACATGATATTTTCAGTTTCTCTTGCGACTCTGCTATTCCGTAACAGCGGTTCAACCTAGGATATCCAACCACATGGTCCGACCACATGGTACAACGGTTACAACTGCTACCACTTACTATACAAGTGGTATGTTACATCAACATGTATCGTATTTGAAGGATAAACATTGTGTTGTTATGAATAAATGCATCAGTAAAGAGAGCCCTATGTATACCGCCGTGCATACGTTCTGCCCTCGCACCGGCTCACGTAACGGCTCTGTTACCGTTAGTTTGGGGCAAATTTGAATGATAATTATGTATGGTTGTTCCAAGGCACGACGGATTGGGTTTCGGTTAGTATTGTTTCTTTTTAGTTGGACACATATTTTTATTGTTACACCCGTTTTGTTAATCACTGCAGAGTAATATGTTCTCTTTTATCGAGGTAACAATAATACACTTAATAGCAATTTATGGGTACCAAACTTGGGCTGCCCTGTCCAATAAGATTTCTATGGTTATTGAGTATTGACCCATCCCTGATTCCGTCTGATACTAGAAATTGTTCTAGATCTTTTTCAAACACCATTGTTCTGGA